GTGGCTAACGCAGGAAGACCACATACCCGAACCAGTTTTAAGCCAGTTCAGAGTTCACATACAGGACAGGAGAGGGTTACACTGGGGGGTGTTGTAGCAGTCCTAGTCATATGGGATATACCTGATCACAAATATAAAATAGCACAGTGCATCCGAAATGTTCAGGTGAGCTCAATTTCGTTGGTTGTACCTTCGAGGAGGGTTAGCATATCAGGTGTCCAGAGGAGCCCGGAAAGCACATCCGAGGAGGACCAGGCACTCCTATGCACCCTATATAGATTATATACACAGTCACAAGGAGTTTGTATGTCGGGAGATTTCAATTTCCCAAAAATCGATTGGGAGGTTGAGCGGGCACCAACAGGAACAGCGGAGAGCGAATTCTTAGAATGGATGCACACGAAGGGCCTACAGCAACATGTCCGGGAGTGCACTAGGTACAGAAATGGAGATGGGCCATCTCTACTAGACGGACTAATTACAACGAGGGAGAGGGATGTGACAAACATCACCTTCCATCCACCGCTGAGTCAAAGCGACCACGTCGTTCTCACCACAGAAATAAGTCCCATGCATCGTAGGAGTTATGTTAGGATGTAGAGGAACTACTGAACGATAGGTGCAACGAAGCTGAAGGCCCGAGCTGCGGAGCTAGTGTGAGCCCCTTCCCACGGAAACGACTCTGTAGACCAGCATTTGGGCCGGATCAAGGCAAATATCTTGCTTCTGCAGGTTGAATTCGCTCCCCTTAAACTCAGGGCAGCGAAGAACAAACCACCTTGATGGAGCCCAGCCATTATAAGGGCGATACAGCGTAGTAATAGGAGCTGGCACACTTATAGATCAACGGGCAGCCACTGATCCTGGGCGCAGTACACTAGGGATAGGAACAAAGCAGTGCCAATTCAGCGCGGGCTCAAAAGGCAATATGTGCTCAAGTTGACCAATTGTGCCAAATACCAGCCAGAGGTATTTTCGTTATGTCCAATTTAAGAAAGGGCTCAGTGAAAAGGTAGGGTTCCTGATATTGGACGACGGAGAATTAGTAGCCCGAGAGATGGATATAGCAGTACGATTTAAGGAATACTTCAGAAGCGTACACAGGATAGATCAAATTGTCACTGCACAACCTGACCTCTGCATCAATGGACCGGATTTCCCCGAATTACACTTTGCGATGGAGCAGGTGCGCAGGACTCTTGGTGAGCTTAACGCCACAAAATTCGCAGGAAAAGATGGCACCCACCCAGCCTTAGTGTAAAGATTGTGGTAGTAGTAGTAGTAGTAATAGGCACGGAACTCGGAACACCAACCACGCAATATGAATTACAGGACCCGAATCGATAATCAGCTATCACGGACTGGGTCGCAGAAGCAATGTCCCAGGAGAACGAGAAGCGAGGAAAAGACCAGAGGACAGGCAGTAATTAGTTCGTTTATTGGAAGAAATGAAGGTGATTAAATAATATGTATAAATGGAGATTATTGGCTACCTGGGCATCCACCAATTGAATTGCAGCACTGCTTGCATAATCTTGCTTCTGCCTGCATTGTCTAGGATTGGCTGGCACCAATGAAGTGTATTCAGAAGCTATGTACGTGCTATTGACGTTAGCATTCAAACTTGATTGATCGCAAATTTCCTGAAACTGTAACGCGCCGCTCCAGGGTAGGCGCCATCGTGTAGGCCTGGATCACCACAACTCTCCTC